CTAAGAAAGAAGTGACTACAGGGTATTTTCATTTTGCACTTCAGCTAGAAATAAAGGTGACAAACAGCATGGGAGGCAGATAATTTGTAAGACAGTTCAACTCTGGCCTCTGATTTTGAGAATTCCCTCTTATTACAAAACTTTCCTTAGGGATACAAAATAAAAGCAGCGCAAATTATCTCCTCTCTCTCCCCACATATGGAGGAAACCCAGTGAGCCCCACTGGACCCACAGTGACTGAACAATCATTGAGCAAGCACGGCTAGGTGTTCTCCCTGCATTGTCTTAAATCTCAGTCAACCATATGAAGAGGCAGCAGAGTCCAGAGGCAGTGTGGCTGGTGGCTCAGGATACGAACACTAGACCCAACCCTTTGGATACAAATTCCAGCTATGTGACCTAAGGAAAGTTAACCTCTCTGACCTTCAGCATCTTCATCAGTAGCATGAAATTTATACATGTCTAATTGTGTGTAGTGATGATTTAGAGGTGCTCTTAGGTAGAAAAGACCAGCAACAATGACTGGCACACAGTAAGTATGGCAAGTGTAGTCTAAATTTTTTAGAAACTGCCACACTGTTTTCGCAATGGCTATACCATTTTACAGTCCTACCAAAGTGCACAAGTGTTCTCATTTCCCCACATTGCTGCCAACACTTGTTACTTTCTTAATAGTACCCATTATAATGAGTGTGAGTGGTATCTCTTTGCATTTTGACAAACAATTGTTTGCTAATAAATTCAACAACTTGGTGATGTGGACAAAATTCCTTGAATGACCTTGTATTACTTTGCTAGGACTGCCATAACAATGTACCCAGACTGGATGGCTTAAACAATATAAATTTATTTTCTTATAATTCTGGAGGCTAGAAGTCCAAGATCAAAGCACCAACAGGGTTGGTATCTTCTGAGGTCTCTCTCCTTGGTCTATAGATGGCCCTGTATCTTCACATTGTCTTCCTGTGTATCTGTGTCCCAATCATAAGGACATCAGTCATATATTTGATTAGGGCCCACCCTAATGTCTCATTTTAACTTAATTACCACATCCAAGGGCCAGATCTCTAAATACAGTCACATTCTAGAATACTGAGGGTTAGAACTTAAACATTTTAATTTGGGGGCAACACAATTCAGCCCATAACAAACTACCAAAACTCACTTGAGAGAAAACAGATAACACGAGTAGCCCTAAATTTATTAAAGAAATTGAATTCATAAAAACCTTTCCAAAAAAACAACAAAATCCAAGCCCAAGTGTCTTCACTGGTTAATTCTAAAACATTTGAAGAAGAATTAATGCCATATCTACACAATCTCTGCCAGAAAATAGATGATGGAACACTGATATTAAAATCTGACAAAGACACTACAAGAAAGAAAGCTATAGAACAATATCCCTTAAAAACACAGAAGCAAAAATCCTAAAGCAACAACTATTTTGACAACCCAAGCCCATCAATAAGTAAATTGGTAACATATCATAAGCCAATGGGTTTATTCCAGGAATACAAAGTTGACTTAATATTCAAAAGCCAATCTACCATATTAACAGACTAAGAAAAATATGACCATGTCAATAAATGGGGGGAAGAATTGCTAAAATCCTATATCCATCCCTTTATAAAAACGCTCAGCAAGCCAGAATAGAAGAAATTTTACTAACCTGATTAAAAAGCATCCAAGAAAATACTTTGATTAACATCATGCTTATTGATGAAAGACTAAATGCTTTCTTTCTGAGAACAGGAATAAAGTAACTTCTCACAACTTCTATTCAACATATTACAGGAAGCCCTAGACAGTACAATAAGGCAAAAAAAATAGAATATATAGGATTGCAAAGGAAGACATAAGACTTTCTTTGCAGATAATATGATTATCTTTGTAGAAAATCCAAGATCTACTTTTAAAAAGCCATTAGAACGAATAAGCATGATCACATCATATAAAAATAAATTTCATTTCAATAAACAATGAAGGAGTATAAATTTAGAATTTAGTACCATTTATGATGGCTAAAAATATTTCACAAACTTAATTACATATGTGATATACCTGTACACTGAAAAGCTATGAAACATTACTGAGTAAAATGTAAAAATATAAATAAATGGAACATAGATATAGAATATATTCATAAATATAGAACATATCCATTGATTGGAAGGTTTTTTCCTAAAATTGATACATGCATTCAACACAATTCCATTCAATATCCCAGCAGACTTCTATTATAGTTTATAATAAATCTTGAAATAAGATAGTGTTCTTCTGTGTTCTTCCTTTTCTAAGTTCTTCTGACTATATATTTACATATAAATTTTAGAATCAACTTGTCAGTTTCTACAAAACAGCTTAACATAATTTGGATGGGGATCGTACAGAATACAGATCAATTTGGGGAGAACTGATACTTAACAATATTAAATTTTCTAGTGTCTGATAGTATAACTCTCCATTTATTAGATCTTTTTTAATTATCTCAGTAATATTTTATACATTGATAGTGTGTAAGTCTTATTTTTTCATATTCTTGATGCTATGTAATTAACTATACATACACAAAGATGTGAAGTTAATTGAATGAATAAAGGATAGTCTTTTTAAAGGTGTTTGAGGATCAATTGGGTATTATATAGAAAATACTAAAGCTTGACCCTTATGTTATACCACCTACAAAGCAACTCAAAATGTATGTTTATAGACTTAAATTTAAAACTATGAACTCAGGGTGCCTGGGTGGCTCAGTCATTATGTGTCCAACTTTGGCTCAGGTCAGGATCTCACAGTTCTTGAGTTTGAGCCCCATGTCGGCTCTGTGCTGACAGCTCGGAGCCTGGAGCTTGATTTATATCCAAATTATAGAAGTTTTCCCAACTTGATTAACTGGGAGCAAACAATTCATATTTAAATGAAACTCCCTTTTTTTTCTTATAACTCTACAATTGCATGCAGTTGTAAGAAATATATTAGCCTTTATCTAGTTTCTCCAATGCTAACATCTTGCAGAACTACAGTATAGTGTCACAACTGCAACTGTGACATTGTACAGTCAAAAGAGCACAGGATCCCCTCATGCTTTCTCCTCCTGGGACTCCTGTTACATGCATGTCAGAACTGCAGGGTCTATACTGACTCTATGTCTCTTTAAAGTATTCTTTTGGGGGCGCCTGGATGGCTCAGTCAGTTAAGCGTCTGACTTCGGCTCAGGTCATGATCTCACGGTTCATGGGTCCGAGCTGTATCGGGCTCTGTGCTGACAGCTCAGAGCCTGGAGCCGGTTTCAGATTCTGTGTCTCCCTCTCTCTCTGACCCTCCCCTGCTCATGCTGTCTCTCTCTCTCTCTCTCTCTCAGAAATAAAGAAAACATTTTTAAAAAATAAAAATAAAGTATTCTTTTAAATATATCTTTGTTCACTGTTCCGCAGTTTTTGGAGAATTCCTTGGCCTTATCTCCAAATGTATTATTCTGCATTTCAGCTGTGTCCATTCTACTATTCAGGCCATCCATTGAGGTTATTTGGGCAATATTTGGTATTTTCTAAAGTTTTTTTTTTGGTCTGTTATTGTTTCATAGTAGCAATATCTTCCTTGCCCTCAGAAGTTATCCCAGTTCATTTGAAGCCTTTGTTCCCTAAGCTCCACTTTACTTCCCAGCGTTAGTTCTTGTTTGTGGAGTTTAGACTCCTTGTTTCATGAGGTTGGTTTTCCTCAGTTCAGTGATCTCAGTGGCTGGTCTTCACCAGCCTGTGTGTAGCCTTTCTACACTTGAGAGTGAAGAAGGGGCAATGTGTGCTACAGGCAGGACACCCCAACTAACCACCTCCTGAGCATGAAGACTCCCTGCCCAGCCCGGGTGCAGCCCTACTGGCCACAGCCCAACTGCAGGGAGAGCCCAGACCACTGGATCTCCACAGAGCCAGGAACAAATGATTATCAGAAGAGCTGATCTCCAAGGGCAGCAATGAGATCTTATGGGCAAAGGCCAAGTCCACTTGGCAAGTGACCCTGGGCAAATAACTTCATGTCAACCTCAATTTCTTCATCTATAAAATGGACATATTCCCAGCATACAAAGCTAAGGTGAAGGTTAAACTGTATTTAGTAACATGCAAAACTCCAACAGAGGGCCCAGGACACTGCAGACACATGACACAGGCAGCTGTAATTATTCTTACTTTATGTCACTTAGAATGCTCCTGTGGTATGTGTGCACCTGGGTGGCTCAGTTGGTTAAGTGTCTGACTTAGACTTAGGTCATGATCTCGGGAGTTCGTGAGTTCGAGCCCTGCGTTGGGTTCTGTGCTGACAGCTCGGAGCCTGGAGCCTGCTTCCGATTCTGTGTCTCCCTCTCTCTCTGTCCCTCCCTTGCACTCGTGCTCTCTCTCTCTCTCTCTCAAAAATTAACATAAAAAAAGAGAGTGCTCCTGCAGTGTGATTCAAAGCATACCCCAATAAGCTCTACTTGAGGCTGATGGAACTTAATAGACTGTTCTCCAACTTCAGGTTGATTGTTACTTTAGGCTGCCCCACCCCAACCCTGTGGTATTTCTAGGTCTGCTCCATGAGAGGTTCATTTCTCCTGGTTCTCCTTTAGGACTCTTCTTTCTTCAAATACCGCCTCCTCCAGGGAGGCTTCCTTGACTCCCACAACCCTCTACACTTGCCTCCAACATAACTTTCACGCCAGCCCAGCATCTAGCACAGATGCTCCCTCTAAGAAGGGAAAAATGAATACATGCTTTGCAGAAAGCAAACTATCCCTCCTGTGCTGCAGCTTTTCCAGCCTCTTTGTGGGAAAGCAAAGCCAACCAAAGCTAGAGTGGACACGCCAATAGATTTGCAAACATCGCCTGGTGCTCCAAAGAAAATCTGTCCAATGGACACAGTTATTTCATCCTCTATGTGTTTAGTTTGTTCTTCCTCCACATTCCCTATCTCCTCTAAACCATACGCCTCTTCCCCAGTTTTACATGAAATGAAAACAGGAAAACTCTCTTAAGCATTTTTTTATTTCTCTGTTATTTGGTTTTCTGCTTTGGTACACTTGAGCTGCGGCTGTATTTCACACAGAAGCTGACATACCTCATTATGACACGCCCCATAAAACAGAGCACATATAAATCACCTGGCATGGTTTTGCTTCACCTGATGGTTATTGCTGAAATCTTTATTTCTAACAGCACAAAAGAGAACATTCCTTGAATCTACAGATGAACAAGGACAGGGTAAGCAGCAGTCAGATCTACCAGGACGGGGGAGAGGGACCGAAGACATGGGGTTCCGGGTGACTATCTGTGGAGACATGAACAGCACAGAGAAGCCACACAAAAATTTCAGAAAAACCAGGGCAAGTGGGGAAACAGTCCCGAACTACAGCCCATGTATCAGAGCCCTCGGGCTTACTCAGTCCTAACAGATTCTGACATAAACACAAAGGCCCAAGGTAGCATAATACCAAAGCCGGCAGTGCCCACCCTTTGGTTTTAATCACTTATGTGAGTATTGTTTTATTCTGGGGCTCTGGGCAGCCCCTCTCCTGGGCAGGAGCGCACCCGTCCCTCCCCTTGCCAGACCCCACGTCCCCAGCTAGCCCCACAGCAATACCCAGACAGGCCTTGCCAGCTCTAAAATGTCTTGCCCTCAAAGGCCTGGAGATTAAAGGCAGTATCTAGAAACTTCTTCAGAGAAACGAGGTGAGTGTTCCTGTTCCCTGTGGCCGGTGCAGCCGCTGGGTCACGGCCAACGTACCTGGGGGAGAAGAGACAAGTTAAGGGCAGGTCTGGGCCTGGTCTGGCTACTACCCCAGGACTGCATCGGGTCTAATCCTGCTCATCATCCTGCCATAGAGGTGAAGAGTCTAAGGTCCCAAGGGGCTAAGGGACTGGCCTAAGATCAAAGGAGCTCTGAGATGTGCATGAAGTTCTCAAATTCAGTGCTGGCTGCAGAACAGAAACAAAGGTTTAGTCTCTGTAAGGCAGAACTGACAGAGTCCCTGATTTGTCACCAATAGCCCTAAAGCCAGCAGGGACTATGGAATCATTCCCTCAATTTCCAATGTGGTCCAGAGAAGGGCAGTGGCCAGTTCTGGCTCACACAGCAAATGGGCCAGGCAGAGAGTCAGGATGGAGCCTTGGGCCCCCAGAGACCCTTGGGCCCAGCAGAGGCAAGGGGCAGGTGGCAGGCACCCCCACCCCCAGCCTCATACCATATGGGCCGCGCCCGGCTCAGGATGGTCATGAAGCGCGGGCTGATGTAGTCATAGTAGCCCATGTTCTTGTGCTCCTCCTGGCACCACACCAGCTCTGCACCTGGGTACTTCTCTGCCTCTAGCTTGATCAGGTCGAAGGGGAATGGAGAGATCTGGGGCGTGCAGGAAGAAAGCGGAGTACAGCTGGAGCCAGGGGGTGTGCCCACGGTGCCAGCTTGTGGGGCCCAGTCCCGGCCCCTGCGTGGCATGCTGCCCACAGCCTCGGGGAGCCGGTGCTTTCACCTTGTCCACCACTCTGACTGGGCAAGGGATTGGGGTGCATCTGCTTCAGGAACAAAGCCAGGGGGGCCGGTGCTTTGACCTTGTCCACCACTCTGACTGGGCGAGGGGCTGGGGTGCACCTGCTCCAGACGGGTGATGGCCACTTGTTCCTCCAGGCCCTGGCTGCTCCGCTCCTTCACCAGGTCATAGTACACCTTTCCAGTGCAGAAGATGAGCCGCCGCACCCGCTCAGGAGACTGTGCCGCAGCCCCATCTTCAGGAATCACCCGCTGGAAGCTGGTCCCTGGAGGTCCAACAGGGCATGGCAGGGACATCCCCTCCCACAGGTGCATCAGCTTGGCCAGAACAGCTTGAGAACAGGGCTCATGTCCCTGGCCGCCCCCACGCTCTTCCTGGCCGCTGAGACAAAGCCCTGGTTTGGATCTGTGGCTGTAGGGGACACCTCTTGAGCCAAACCACAGAGCAGGGGACAGATGACACCATGGGAAAGGGTCAGAAATGGGTTGGAGCCAAGGTGGATGGGCAGATATGATAGGGAGAGCCCTTGGAGAGGACAGGGAAGCTGGTATCAGGTCCTCATCTGATGGCTTCAATGTCCGCCTGGAACCTGCTCCCCATCCAGTCACACTTACCTTCTGCATGCGCTCCAGCCACCTGCTCACCAAGCGGGAAGGTGAGCTGTCTCGGAGGCTGCCGCTCTTTTCTCCCTCCCTCCCTCCCTCAGGCCTGCAGCCAAGCCAGCATCTGCAAGTCCTGTACTTTTTTCCTCCCTGGGCTCACACCATGTGCCAGCCACCAAGCCAAGAATGCTGCAAAAACCTCTGAGGAGGACAGTATAGTGTCCCCAAATCCCAAGTGGGGACACTGAAGCCCGGAGGGTAACTGGCTGCTGGGCCCCAGCAGAGAATAGCCAGCACCGGGTGTTCAGCCTGGGAGGTCCGTGGTGCCAGTGTCAGAGCTCTGAACGGCCGGCTCAGTCAGCTGTCCACACCAGAGGGGATGCCCAAACACACAGGTGAAAAACAACCACCGGTCCACACTGCCGAGTCCCTTCCTGGCCAGCGCCTCCCACTCTCCCTACTACCCAGGACTGTGTGCCAAGACAGCCCTGCTCTCCCAAGCGTCAGCGTCCCACATCTGCCACTCCCTGATCCTCCCCTGGGTCACATCTCCATCACCTGGTCCTTCAGATGTTTTATCTGGCCCTCAACTCCTGGGTAAAGGAGCCTGAAAGCTCCTGGAAGGAGCACCGGGTCCCCAGGGCCAGCAGGGTCTACTTGGTTCATAAAAAAAAACCCTGACTGAATAACTGAATGTAACTCCATGCCCTGCCCTATGGGCAGACCTCCACCAGGCCTCCCACCCCTCAGCTCCCCCAGCACAGGCAGGTGGGTCCTGCTGTGTAGCTGAGGGGGGTGGGGGACCAGTGCCCTGCTCGGGCCCCGCTGCTCAGCCCAGGTGACCCAAGCCGGACCACGTCAGGTGGCCACCATGCTAACCTCCCAACCCGCCCACTGGTGAGGGCTGAGCCAGGAGCTGCTGCAGAGGCACGGACGGAGGTGAGGACAGAAGAGTCCCGGGAACAGAGGGCCATGGGCCACCAGGCCCCCCATCAGCCACCTCCCCAACACACCTGGGCACTTACCGGATACCATTTGGTCAAAGCTGGACTTGGCCTCCGGGTGCCTCAGCAGAGACTTGGGTGTGAAGATGATCAGCTAAGAGGGAAACATGTGCCTGGCTGCCAGCTGTCCTGCCTGGGCAGGGCGCCCACAGCTGGGCCCAGCACTGCTATGGTGGCGAGCAGGGCAGACGGCTCACCGGCTTGCGGAAGGGCAGCATGACCTGGCGGCGCAGCACGTGGAAGTAGTTGGCCGGTGTGGAGCAGTTGACAACAATCCAGTTACAGTCATAGAGCTGGCTCACCTCGAAGTCCTCGGTGAATACCTGTGCGGCCCGGGTATGGCTGGGAGGTGGCCCACCTGTGGCCCCTGCTCCCCAGCCCTGCCCCGGGGGAGGGAGGGCGCTACTCACCGGGTAGGCATCGGAGTCATCGTTGCTCATCTGCAGGAATCTCTCGGGCCTTGCTGAGGAGTGCTCTGGGCCCTGAAAGCAAGTGCTAGATGGCACAGGCTGGCCTACGTGTTATATAGGACAGGCCCCTCTGCAGGGGCCCAGGGCGCAGGGGAAAGTCTGGGTGGCTTGTTAGAGAAGATGCCCTCTCTCTCTGGAGTCCGAACCACAGTAAAGAACCAGGAATGTGGGAGAAGAGTAGAGAGGACTTTCTCAGAGGAGGTTTCTGGCCATAGCCAGCACATGTGAATATGTGGGGCAGGAAGGACAGGTAAAAAGGCCAAAGTGAGATGCTTTTTCCAGAATGTCCTGACCTACAGCAATTACCATTTACTGAGCACATGCTGTGTGCCAGGCACAGTTCTATGGACCAAATACACATTATTCACTAATCTTGAAAGCAGCCCGACGGTGTAGACATTTGTTTCCTTGCTTTGCAGATGAAGGCGAGTAGCAGAGAGATGAAGAAACAATGCCATGGTCACCCAGCCCCAAGGGGCAGATCGGAACTGACTCCTACTCCTGCTCTCGCCCTGTGGGCGAGAGTGACAGCAGCAAGACAACACCACACTGACCTCCAGGAGGTAGCTCCCCTATGGGATGAGGGCAATCTGCCCCACAGCCTCGAGGACCCAGCGCCACAGGCATGAGGCAGGCCACCCCAACCCTCCCCATCCAGCCGGGCTCAAACTCCACCCTGTGCCTCTGCAGCTAAATGACCTTGGGCAGGGCCATTCCACTTCTTTCAAGTGTGAAATGGGCAAGAGGACTGACCACTCCAGCTGTGAGAATCCCACAGAACCACACACGGTGTGCAAGACGCTCAGCACAGGAACGTCTGGCGGGCTCAGGTGGTTAGGCGTCCAACCCTTGATTTTGGCTCAGGTCATGATCTCACAGTACATGAGTTCAAACCCCGCATCGGTCTCCCCGCTGTCAGTACAAAGCCTGCTTCGGATCCTCTGTCTCCCTCTCTCTGCTCCTCCTCAGCTCATGCACACACACGCACATACACACTCTCTCAAAAATAAATCTTTTTTTAAATTTAAAATTAAAAAAAAAAAAAAAAAAAAAGATGCTCAGCACAGTGAGTCCTGGCTCTGAACAGCCATTTGGTGGTGACAGTAGTGATCGGTCCCTGACTGGATGGCCAGTCCAAGCTGAACAGGCCCTCGGGGGACATCCACTGAGCCCCATCATCCAGGATGGGGAAGCCTGCTCCAGGTCACAGAGCCAGGCAGAGGTCACCGAGGCTGCCGCTGCAGCCGGCACAGCCCTCTCATCTCCCACCTGGTTGGGCTGAGGGCTTTGCTCCTCCCCTTCCTTCCCGTGCGGGCCTGCACATCCTGCCTCTTCCCTCTGTGTGGCACACACACTGGTCACTCAGGAGAAGACCACAGGCTGGGCAGGACTGCACAGCATGACATTCAGACCTTAGCTTCTAGCCGTGTGACCTTGGGCAAGCCACTCTACTTTTCTGTGCCTCAGTTTCCCTCATCTGGAAACAGGGAGCTGGACCGATTTCATGAATTTGTTGTAAGCACTGGAAGAGCTCAGAGAGAGGGTTTTAAATAGTGCCTGGCACAGAGCAAACCCTGACATACCAACGACTTTATTGCTAGTGACAGCAATGCCAACAGAGCAGCAATGCAGACCTACGCAGGCCCCAACCTGAGCAAACCTATGTGTTCCAGGGGCCTGGAAGAAAAACAGCCCTCAACCCGGCTGGAGGCCAAGGGTCCACCCACCACCTCCCAGAGCCCACCCAGCCCCCAGCCACCACGGGGGCCTCACCATGCCCTCCATGCCGTGGGGCAGCAGCAGAACGATGCCATTGTGCCGCACCCACTTGGCCTGGCCGGTGCTGATGAACTGGTCAATGATGCACTGGGCCGTGTTGTGGAAGTCACCAAACTGAGCCTCCCAGAGGACCAGGGCATTGGGGCTGGCCATGGCATAGCCCAGCTCAAAGCCTAAACAGAAGGCACAGAGACAGAGCCCATCACACATTGTCATCAAGTGGCAACGGCTCCATTCAAACCCAGCTCTTCTTCATACACTCTCCCTGCCCCCACCCATCCTTCCCGGCAGGCCAGCAAGAGCCAGGGGACTCCTTGGGCCCAATGGCTCAGAATCTCCCTTCCTGGGAGCCGACAATATGCCCAGAGATGCCCACCCCCAGCCCTGACCTCACATATAGCCAGCTTTAGCGTTGTCTAGACTAGGAGCAACTTGGAGCAGTAGCAAGAGCCATCTGCCAAGAGGAACCCCCCAAAATATGTGCAGTACTGTTGAGGGAAAGGGAGAGGGTGGAAGGCTGGTGTCTGCAGGGTTCCCGCCTCTGGGAGGAGGCAGTGAGGGAGGAAGCAGGCCAGCTTGAGGTCAAGCCAAGGGAGAGAGTGTACAGGGGACAAAGTCCCGGGAGCTCAGAGCCTAGAGAGGAGCTCTGCAGATAGAGCTGTTGGGTGCAGTGCAGGGGTGGTCATGGTCAAAACAATAAAGCTAGGACAGCTTGGGGTGTAAGACCCTGTCTGGTCCCCAGGCATCTTGGGGCCCACCTGACTTGCAGGCAGAGTTGTGACCCACCCAGGACTCCATACTCTGAGAGGGAGCTGTTGCACACAGTGTAGGGGGCCTGGTCAGGCCAAAGGTGGTTCATGGGGACACACGTCCTCCGGTCAACTTCCTGGTCATGGAGAACGTGGTGCCGGTGACTAGAGAAGGACAGATGGGGAAGGGATGGAGAGGAGGTGGATTACCACCTGCTCACCCACAGCAGGTGGACCAGGTAACAGGAGGCAGGCAAGCCTCTATCACTTTGCCAGGAAACCAGACAGAATTCCATTGGATGGCGACACCAAGAAGAGCCTGGGAAGCCAGAGCCATCTGGTCTCTCCTCCAGGTAGCCGCCGTTCCCAGTGGTAATCCCACGGGGTCAGAGAGGTGGCCCAGCAGCCCTCTGATGGTGTGACCCAAGAGCAGAGGCTGGAGATGCTGATGGGGTTACCTGTGACTGCCTCAGCAGATAAGGGGTCCCCAGACATGGTCCAGGAAGGGGAGGAAGAGCCAGCTCCACTCCAGAGCTCCTGGGCTGACTCTGGGAGGCCGGGAGCACAGATAAGCTCCCAGGAATGCCGTGGGGTCAACGTGGACAAGGCTAATGTCCATGGGGCCCAGGCCCCAGAGACTGCTCCCCACCCTCACCTGAACGTGCCCCTCTCCACATCCTGCCCACTAAGCCGCACATGGATGCCCTCCTTGAGCAGGGAGCCGAAGGCCATGTACTCTGCCAGTGCCCAGTCCACCGTCCGGTTCTTGGTCATATCTGCACGGCCCCGCAGGATTCGAGAGAGGCCTACGGGAATGAACAGCCGGCCTGAGGGACTCAGGGGCTTGGCCACCCCACCTGGCACAGCCCAGGTGTGTATGTACGCTATGCACACCCCTCCCACACAGCAGGGCCTTAGCAGGCAGCAGGAGACCCACTGCATGAGCAGGACTGAGCCCACCACGCCCCAGCTTCCCTCCCTTTGGGAAGGGGCAGGCATCCCCAGGTAAGCACCTGCCACGTGTAGACACTGCATGCACCGAGGAACATTCACCACAGGTCACCCGCCAGTCTCCAGATGAGGAGACTGAGGCTCAGAAGAGGGAATTATTTTATGCATGGCCACAGCACTATAGAGATGTTTAGATGTGAGCCCAGGCACCCAGCCCAAGTGGGGCTTCTGTTGGTCCTACACCCACACGGGTCCCATGTGACGTGCACACAGAGCGGGCACCCCAAGACACCAGGGCCACCACGCACACTGTGGAAGAATCCCCTTGGAACTCCCACAGGCTGGTTCTGAGGGTGTGCAGGCACCCCACACTGACGTGGGGGCCTTCCAGGCTGCCCAGCCAGGATGGCCACGGCCAGGAGCTATAGCTCGGCTCACGCGCGAGTGGCAGGGTCGCCTTGTCTCATCCATCCAGGTCAGCAGCAGGCCCAGCACTCCTGCCCAGCGCCCACCATTCCAGGCCCACCTACCTGCTCCACAGCAGCCCCTGCATCCCTGCTCTCCTTCTGTGTGACCCACAGACACCCCCAGCAAAGGCGCTGGGAAAATCCAAGGTGCCCGGCGTAAGCCTTGGCCACTGACACCCTGCAGGGAGTGTGGTTTCCACATCTGCCCACCTTGAGAGCAACTACTCTTGCGAGCACCTCACAAGAGTGCAGAAGAGGCTCCAAGAGCTCAGCTGACCTGCCCACAACCAAGTGGGGACACAGGCCAGGCCTCCCCGAGCACCGTCCTGCACAGCAACCTCACCTGTGTGGATCTTAAAGTCCTCCAGGGGCACGGAGCTGGCCACTTCACCAATGTGGGTCAGCACGTCCTCGGGGGTGCCTGTGGCCGGGCATGTCATGCTCTTGGGCTCCCCGTCCACATTGAAGAAGCCTGAGAGAACAGAGAGTCTGAGCGCTTCAGGGGGTGGTCGGGCCTCAGACCCCCCGTCAGCGTGCCTCCCCAGGACTTGGGGGCCCACATCTTCCTTAACCCCACCTGCACACAAACCTGACTCACCCTCAGGACCTGCACAGCTCACAGTCACAGCTGAGCTCCTATCTTCTCCTGGGCCCAGGGACACAGCCATCCAGCTCCATCCCACAGAGGCCCTCTGAGCACCCCTCCCCCAGGCTCTCTCCACTCTGGTGCCCACCAGCTTTGGCTCAGCCCTCCCTTCCCAGAGAACAGCTGGGCACACATGCCCTCAGCATGATGTCATCTCTCCTGTACTCAGGCCCATCCCCACCGGCAGGAACCTGCCCCCACAGCCTCTGGAGACTCAGGGATGGAGCCCGCAGCCTCTGGGCTGGGCAGTGACTGCCCTCACCCAGGACCACTGCAGTCGTGGCCCCAGGCCCCAGGTGAATCACTCTCAGCCACACACCACTCGCTCACCGGGCCAGGGGGAGTCCAGCCAGTGCTTTATATGCAGGATCTTTTTATCCTTGGACCTGCCGTATGCCTCCTCACAGATCCGGTCGTATTTGGCAATTTCTTCCTGAAATCAGGGGGAATATGGGAATTGAGGCACTGATGGCCCAGACAGCCAGAGGCTGGATCAACCCCGACTCATAAACCCTGGTCCTCTAGAACTGTCTGTCTGCCATCCTGCGGGGACCATGTGGTCAGAGGTCAAAGTCTCAAAATTAAGGGGATCCCTCCTGCTTAGCAAGGGACTTGGAGGAGGGTCAGAAAAGACTAACAGTGCTTTTTCTAAGAGTTCCCTCAAGGTGCGAGGACCAATGCATCCATAGGTAATTGTGAGGACCAATGCTCAGGCTGCCTCCTGCAGGAAGCCTTCCTGGACTCCTGCCTGAGGCCGAGCTTCCCCCACATGGCAGCATTCACTATGTCCCACCAGGCTATAAATGTCTTTGGTTCTCTGTCCCCCTTGACAGCTAGGGGCTGTCAAGAAGACCACATTGGCTACTTCTTTAAATCACTGTCAACATCACCAACTGCCCCAGGGTTCCGGCTCGACTGGAGGCTTATCCCAGGCATCCATGATGCCAGCCTGCCTACCTCGAACTCTTGCAGGGTGACAGTGCCTTCAGCAATGAGCTTGTCTGCATACTTCTTCAGCACAGGCACCTGTCTGTGGATCTGCTTGTACATGAGCGGCTGCGTGAACATGGGCTCATCCATCTCATTGTGGCCACGCCGGCGGTAACAGACCTGCAAGGACAGTGTGGGGAGGGACTCAGTCCCTGCCCCCAGGCAGTGCATGCCTAGTCACTGCACCACTGGGGCATAGTTGCCTGGGTACACCCTTCGAAGCCCCGAAAGTCCCCCGCTACCACCTGTCACTGAATGCCCCACCTCCTGGCCTTTGTACTGTTCTTGGGGGCACTAAATCTTCTATCCCAGAAGCACTCCCAGCCCTCACTGCCAAAGATATTGCAAACCTGGCCCACGTGGCACAGCAGGGACAGGTTACATACTCCCCACCTTGGTCACAGCCCCAAACCCACCAAGTCCACTACAACGTCTTTATTGAAGGTGTTCCTCCACTCAGCTGCCACACTGCACACATATATCACGGCCTCTGGGTCATCTGCGTTCACATGGAAGATTGGCGCGTTGACCACACGGGCCACATCAGTGGGGTATGGTGATGAGCGGGCCATGCGGGGGTCTGTGGTGAAGCCGATCTGCAGAAGCAGGAGGAATTGACAGCACCTCTGTATTCTTAGAGCTAGACAGGCAGTGCCTGCCCGGAAGACTGCTGGTCAAGGAAACGGGGATTATCTTTGCCTTGAGGTCCATGAGGTGGGACCAGGAGTTACATGGCACATGAAGAGCTGAGAGTAAATGGTCCGGGGCACCCGGGTGGTTCAATCAGTTAAGCACCTGACTTCAGCTCGGGTCATGATCTCATGGTTTGTGGGTTCGGGTCCTGCATCGGGCTCTGTGCTCACAGCTCAGAGCCTGGAGCCTGCTTCAGATTCTGTGTCTCCCTCTCTGCCCCTCCCCCATTCATGCTCGCTTGCTCTCTTTCTCTCTCTCTCAAAAATAAATAAACGTTAAAAAAAATTTTTTTTAAGAGTAGATGGCCCCTAAATCAGGCCTTCTTTTTTTTTTTCCTGCATTTTACACAGAGGTAGGAAGAACGCAGGCGTGGGTAGCTGCCAGTCCCATCAGTTGCTCGGTGTGCAATTCTAAGCAGGGTATTTAAATTCCCAAAGCCTCAGTCTCCTCGTCTACTAAAAGGGCTCATTAAATACTACCTCACAGGGTTATTCCTTAAAGATTAAGTGACTTAATGCAAATAAGGCAATTAATTCAGGGCTTTCTAGGCTCAGAAGAGCTATTACCAAGCACAGCTGCCTGAAGGGCAAAGGCCTGGGACAGCTGCGTTCTAAGACTGGTTCCTATAAACCTAAAAGCAGCATCTAGTTTCACGTCCAGCCTCTGTGCCAGTTACACCTGTACCACTTTGTCTTACAACGTTCTCCACGGTGTGTGCATGTGTACATATATGTATACGTGTATATATATATATCCAGACACACACCAATTTCACAGACCACGCTGGGGAGAGCAGGCAACCTGCCTGACGTCATATACTGGGGAGGGGCAGAGCAGTGGGATTAAAACCAGGATCACCCCACATTTCCTGCAAAGTGCTACCTGGATTTCAGGAATGGAAAACACTGACGAGGCCTGGCAGGCAGCCCAGGCACTCACCTGATTGTTGACGACGACATGCACGGTACCGTTGGTGGTGTAAGAGGGCAGGTCACTTAGGTGGAAGGTTTCATACACCACGCCTTGGCCGGCGAAGGCGGCATCCCCGTGAACCAGGATGGACATGACCTACAGGGCAGGATGTGAGCCGGGAGGAGCCCAAGCCTGTGCAGCCCAGCTCTGTGCACTATGCTGCAAAGATCCAGGGTCTATTCCTCAGAGACCATTCCTCACTCAGAGCCCAGCCCCCCAGAGCCCATTCCTGAGCCCAACCCTCAGAGCCCAACCCCCCAGAGCCTATCCCTCAGAGTCCATTCCTCAGACACCAGCCCTCAGAGCCCATTCCTCAGCCCTCAGAACCCACTGCTCACTCAGAGCCCAGTCCTCAGAGCCCAGTGCCTCAGAGCCCACCCCTCAGGGCCCACCCCTTAGGACCCAGGTGACTTCACCTTCTTGCCCTGGGCATCCCCTCGGTAGAACTGTTCTGCCTTCGTCTTTCCCTGCACCACAGGGTCCACAGCTTCCAGGTGGGAGGGGTTGGCCACAAGGGACAAAGTGATATTTCTGTTGGTGACCCGGTTGATTCTCTCATGGTACATGCCGAGGTGATACTTGACATCTCCGGAGCCCTGAAGGTTGAGGTGGGCTGTGAGGAACCCAACCCTCTCTCCCTGCACAGGCAGGTGAGGGGACATGCAAGTCCCCAGGGAGGCTGGGACAGTCCCTGGAATCTGCTCCCTGGGAAGGCTGTGCTACTCCTGCCCTACACCCTTGTCTTGCCCTCCCCACCCCCCACCCCCTGCTCCTCTCTGAGAAAAGCAGGCAGGTTCCCCTAAGACTCGGCTCAGAGGCCAGACAAGGTCCCTCATCAGAGCCCCTTCACATATCAACTACTGTCCTCAGCATTAATGACAGAGCAAGCAGAGGAATGAACGTGGTGTTGACACTGGTAGCAAACACTGGAGCTGGACCCCCACCTAAGTCCTTGCACCAAAGCAACCAACAATGTACACACGACAGTACAGCAGAGAAAAACATTATATATGTTTCGAGACCCTTCAAATCAATGTACAAACCTCAGAAGCCATAAAAGATAAGGCAGCTAAAATGTAATAAATCTGCCAATGAAGGAAGCAAATCCATGCACAGTGTTAGGGGGGAAAACTCAAGCTGAGAAAACTATCGATAAGACAAATGCAGGCAAAAGGCTAACACCCTCAATATATAAAGCACTTTTACAAATCAGTAAAACAAAGTCCCAAAATCCCATAGAAAAATGAGCAGGGGCGCCTGGGTGGCTTAGTCGGTTAAGCGTCTGACTCTTGGTTTCGGCTCAGGTCATGATCTCACGGTTCATGGATTTGAGCCCTGAGTCCAGGCTCGCACTGATGACATGGGGTCTGCTTGGGATCCTCTCTCTCTCTCCCTCCCTATGCCTTTCCCCCATGCGTACTCTCTCTGTCTGGGCCTCAGTTTCCCTGGCTGAAAACCAAGGAGGTTGGTCCAGATTACCTGAGGACTCTCCCAGCTGTCAGAGATCATAGCACTCACGTTAGTGGCCTCACACCAACATGCCCACTCTCTCCCCATTCTACATAACCATCCATTGCCAGGTCTGTTTGAGCCTGGATGCTTCTGGGCAAGTTCCTCCCTAGTCCACCTCTCAAATATCTGGGACCAGGGCTTGTCACGTACCTCATCTGCTGCCTCCAGCTTGGGGTCAAACTGGCAGAAGATCTGCTCCAGGTCCTTGCGGATCACATTGGCCAGCACATTCAGCCTGCCCCTGGAGCCAGACGTGGTAGGACTTCCGTGTGGCAGAGGCTATCTCCCCCGACAGGTGCCAGCATCCCCCCACTCCTGCCCACCTAGGCCTACCAGAATTAGTATGGGGGTCAGGGGAACCCTCCCAGTACAGCCCAAGGGAGGTCTGGCCCTCTCATCCTGTCTCAATCTACAAGGCACATGAGTGGTTCTGGCTGGAGGGCCAGCTCCCTCAGACACCCCTGTACAACTCAGACTCTGGAGGTTCTCAAGCACGAGCCACCCAGCCTCATGGCGGGATGCACATGCACATGCAAACACCCCCCCACCCCGCACTTCCACCCCCCTGACCCCCAGCCAAAAGCTGAGCCTAACCCAGCACCTCAGCCCCAATGTGCTACCCACAGCTGCTCATACATGACTCCCAGCCCAGCTAGCAGTGTCTTGATGCAGGGAAGAGGGGTCTGGACTGATCCTAAGATCAGGAGTTATCAGGGGACCTTTCCAGGGAAGCTGACATCTGAGGGTGGTGGGGATAGAAAGCAGCCAGAGACCAGGGACTCTCTAGTGCAGCAGACTTCCCATCAGGGGGCACTTTACTCAGGGGTGGGCACCACGTTGATCAGGACACAGGGGAGGCCACAGAACAAACCCCCCATAGCCTACCAACAACACCAGCCCAAGGCCTGCATACACCCTGGCCCCACCTCTAGCCTCACAGAAGGGTTCCGTTCCAGGTGGCCTCTCTCATTCTATGGGTCAGGGCTATGAGGCCACAGGAGCTGAATGAACAACCCTCAGCCCCTCTGGACAAAGCCCTCTAGCCTCAGAGTCCCCTTAACCCTCACTATGGAGGCTTGGCCTAGAATGGCCCTCCTCAGGCCAGGAGCCTGCCCAGCACCACCCTACAGTCCCACAGCGGCCCCTGGCTGCTCAGTGCCATCTTCCCCAGGAGTGCCACTGAAGCCATGTGTGTGGGACCTCAGACCACTGGGCCAGCTCTGCCTGACCCTCTGATGAGACACTGGGCATTTCTGGGCCCCTCAGAGCAAGGGGCCATGACAGACAAACCCCAGGCTCCTGGCAGCCAGCCCACAGGATGGAGACCCTCTCACACTGCCTGTGGACACCCAGCCACCCCTCGTGCTAGTGCGGTCTGGGACTGACCCACCCACGAGCAGATGGAGATGGTCACAGGAAATGCTGGGGCTTTGCCTGAGTCTGCGCTGCATGTCCTCTTATGCCCCAGTCCACAGGACGCCTGGCCACCTTGGTGTCTGTCCCCCAGGCTGTATTCCTCACTGTAGTCCACAGGCTCTAGCTCAGAGGTAACCGCCCAGCTGCCAGGCCAGCCTTCCAAGTCTATCAAGGTCTCGGGGAAACATGCAGTCAGCTTGCAGCCAGGGGAAAGAGCCCTCAGCTCCCCTCCAGAGATCCCTCCACATCTACTCATCCACAGGAATCTCCAGAGGTATGATACACCCCTTTTCTGATATCTTGACCCTCCTGGGGACAGCAGCAACATGGGGAGAGAGAAACTGAGTCTGAGCAAACCTGGTTAGTCCCTGTCTCCATGTGCCTTTGGCCAAGTGCCTGACACTTGGTGCTGAGCAGGCCCTCCGGCCCAGGGACTCTGAGAACTTTCTAGGCCATCCTGCCGCTATCATCAGCTTCCCCCAAAACCCCTGCTCTGATTTTCGTCCCTTCCTTTCCATCTCATGTTGCTGGGCCTGGAGAATAGATAGACTGCCGAGGAGCAGGAAAGGGGTCCACCTGTGTGGCATTCCCAGGATGACGTTCTCAATCCCCATCTCACTGGATTTGTCGATGATGGTCTTGAGGGCAGGAATCATGACCTCACAGCCCTCCAGGCCAAACCGCTTCTCTGAGGACCATTTTCGGGCCAGGAAGTCTTCAAACCTGCTTGGGGAGAGATGGGAAGGGATAGAGAGGCTAGGGCTCACAGGAGCTGTTGATGAGGGCCACAGCTAGATGCCCCGGGTGGAGGAAGCAGCAACATCACCTTCCTCTGCGCAGTCAGGACCTGCCACGAACATCCACCAACCAGGAGCATAGGCCAGAGGAAGACTGGGCATCCTCCCAGCCTAACCATAGGCCTCTGCCTGCACGAGTCCCCTGCTGTCACCCCCTTTCCCTCTTCCAGTCAAACTGTTCCAAGGACCCATCTCCCCCTGCTCCCAAACCAGGGTTCTCTGTTCTCTGTGTGTGTGCGTGTGCTACACACACACTGCTCCCTTTCGTGACGAAAGACCTCCTCACCACTCAACTCAAATTCCATCCTGTACCTCACCACCACAGATCCACTCTGCACCCAGCAGCTCAGCCCCAGCTCTCCCAGGCCCCACCCAGCCCCAGACTCAGCTTCGGACAGCCAGTGGGCACGACCAGGTGGTGCCCCACCTGCAGGAAGATGCTGCTACCCTCACTCCAGGTAGGGACATCTTTCTGCCCAAACTCCCGCAGCCACTTTCTGCCACTTCTGCCCCTGCTGTCATGTTCTGCTGGAGCCCATCCCTGGACACCTGTCCCTAGTGCTGCTCCTATGGGCCTTCCCTGGACCAGGGCTGAGGGCCATCCAGTCCTGACTTCCCCTACCAGTTATCCTAGTTTCTCAGCCAGGGCCTGGGACACCCCGTACGGCCCTGCAGCAGACCCTCCAACCACTGCGGCCGCCCTGCGTGGTGCTGGGGGCCTGACCTCATGGAGCGCACCAGCCGAGCCAGCAGGGTCCGCTTCTCCTCACTGGAGAACTGCATCACACCAGGGGTCTCGAATTTCTGCCGGATCCACTGGCACTGCTCCACGTCATTGATGAACATGAACTCCAGGCCGACGTGCTGGCAATAGGTGCTCTGGGGGAACAGGTGGGGACTCCACAAGGAGCCAGGAAGAGGAACAACTGTCCTGGCATCTGGAACACAAAAAGTAGCACCCTCCCTCCCTCTAGCACACTCCAGAGAGAGCCAGCAGGTGTGCCTGACACACCTGCGTGAGCTCACCTCCAGGCGCCGAATGATCTCCCGCAGAGAGAGAGTATTCTCTGATCCGCCGATGAAGGTGGTCGTCGGCAGCTGGAACTCCTTATCTAGGTCAGCCTCCCGCAGGTCATAGAACGCTGAGGGGACACACAGCCCAGGCAGCAGAGGGGAAGACAGGGATCAGGCCCAGGTGGGGCCCAGCAGTATCCCCAGACCCTCCAACAATGTCCCCGGCACCCTCCCACCAGTTCCAGCCTAAAGCTCAGGGACCCTGTCTGCAGGGTGCAGAGGGGTAGGAGTCAGAGCCCAGCCTGTACCGCAAGAGTGAGCTGCACATGGTGCACGGGCTAGGGAGGGGGGCTGATTGCCAGCCCCAGGCCCTGGAGGCACAGTGGTCTCAGAGCTCCTCACGGGGCCACAGGCCCCACCAGCTGGCTTGGGCACTGCCAGAGCAATAGGAACTCTCACCCAATTTATCGATGGTTGTGATCAAGTCTGAGGGCACAAAGGAGTCCAGGTCTGCATCCAGAATGCCCAGGGGGTCCAGCTGGGCCACATGGTGGCCTCGGATCTGGGAGAGGGAGAAAAGGTCAGGGCCAGGCTGGGACCCGGATGGACAGACCTTCACCAAAATCAAAGTTCTGGGCCCTGGCCCCTCATCTCCCACTTCAGAATTTCAACTTTCCACATGTCGCCAGGACCCAGCCACTGCACGCCCGTGACCACTAAGGTGGGCAGGAGCTCAACTCAGCTTGAAAGTACATCATGCCGCTTTCAAAAATAAGAAAGGATGCATACACAAAAGTACTCACTACAGTACTATTTGTAATCGCAAAATTCTAGAAGCCTCCCAAATGTTCATTAGTAGAAGACTGGCATATGGATATGGGAAATCTGCACAGGAAGTACTACAAAGCTGTTAAAAGTAATTTAAAAAAAAAAAATCCCTATCTGCTACTCTGAGGTAGCCTCCGTGAAACACTCACTGTTAAGCAAAAAAGCAAATTATAGAAAAGTATGTGTGGGAAACTACCCATTATCTAAGAAAGAGAAGATCCAAGTAAATAAATGCATTTGCATGTACTTGTATCTATACAAATAAACATCCTCATTCGAAAAATACATCATAAAATAAGAAAACCATAAAGTAAGAAAAACCATGAACCCTGGTAAAAGGAATAGAGTAGAATGCCAGGGCTGGAAGCTAGACTCTTCAGAACATATTTTGCTTGGAAGATTTGACTTTGCAATCTTGTAAATATTTTAGGTTGCAATAAAACAAAATGAAGTTTTAAAAATTAAAGTAAAACAAAACCAATGGATTTGTGCATCCATTGGTGGCATAACTACATGACTGACTAACAGAATGTCCCCAAAAGACAAACAACTCCAGGAAAAAAATATGATAAACTCATTTCTAGTACCCAACAGTAGTGGCAGTATTAGAATTATATTTTAAAACTGCAGTGTGCAGGCTGTGGGAAAATCAAGTAACCTGTATTGATGTCTTTCAGACCTCCACTTTTGGCATCTTTAAAAGAAGACAGTGACATAAGATTGATGAGGTCAGGAACAAACCTTAAGTCCTGCATTTGAAGTATGTGGAAACATCAGTATAAACCCATGTGTATGTTGCCTTTTAGGGGCATCTGGGTGGCTCAGTCAGTTAAGCGTCCAACTCTTGACTCTGGTTCAGGTCATGGTCTCACAGTTTGGGGGTTTGAGCTCTATTAGGCTCCATGCTGACAGTGCAAAGACTACTTGGGATTCTCTCTCTCCTCTCTCTGCCTCTGCCTCTCTCTCTCTTTCTTTCCTTCTCTCAAAATAAATAAATAAACTTTAAAAAAAATCATAAAAAGGACGCCTGGGTGGATCACTTGGTTAAATATCTGACTTCAGCTCAGGTCATGATCTCACAGCTTGTGAGTTTGAGCCCCACATCAGACTCTATACTAAAAGCTCAGATCCTGGAGCCTGCTTCTGATTCTGTGTCTCCCTCTTTCTCTGCCCCACCCCTGCTCGTGTTCTGTCTTTCCTGTCTCAAAAATAAATAAACATTTAAAAAAATTTCTTTAAATCTTAAAAAAAAATAAAAACAAGTATATTTCCTGGCTCTAACCACTGTAAGGGCCCAGAAGTCATGATCAGACCATTAGCAGTGACCCTCCCAGCACTCGCTGAAAAACTGGCTGGTCCAGGGCTAGGCAGAAATGTACAACATGAGCTCAGAGCATCTTGTCATACCAGATAGGAAAGGGGGCTCAAACACTGCTGGGGCAGGGAATGAGGACACATTTTGACAATGAGAAGGATGGTATCTATAATAGATTAAAACTCATCAAATAGGGGCGATGCCTGGGTGGTTCAGTCAGTTAAGCTTCCATCTTCGGCTCAGGTCATGATCTCATGGTTCGTGGGTTCGAGCCCCACATGGGGCTCTGTGCTGACAGCTCAACGCCTGGAACTTACTTCAAGATTCTGTGTGTGTCTGTCTCTCTCTGTCCGTCCCCTGCTTGTGCTCTGCCCCCACCTCAGAAATAAATAAACGTTAAAAAAATTTTTTTAACTCATCAAGTAGGTTTAAATTCATGCATTCATATCATACTCAGTAATAAGGAAAACCTTCACTGGCCATTTCTGGAGTATTCTAGGGAACCATGTCATACTTTTGAAAATCAGTCAATAAAAAGAAAATCAAGCACTGATCCCGCCTTTCCTACATACTTTGCACCTCAGGATAAGTGGAGCTGACAAAAGTTAAGTTTCTCCTACTAGAAGTACTTCGGGTAATAAACAAAGTAAGAAGAGTAGAATTAGAATATCATCACCATTTTTACCACTCCTAATGAATTAATGTGTCCAGGAAATAATCATCCAGAGCTGCTGACTGATGAAGTACCCATCACCACCAGGAAGCTGATTTTGAAACAAAAAAATTAAATCTATATTGGATAAAGGCTTCTAGATCTAATTACTGATTTACAGAAATTACATGGGACAAAGGGACAGATGAAGTGACACCATGGGGATGCAATCAGCAAAATCCAGATCAGGAAAGCTCTACAACACAAACTACCTGGTTTGTTCCACATAAATAAATAAATAAATAAATAAATAAATAAATAAATAAATAAAATGGCAAACACAGAAACAGAGAGGAATCTGTAGAACACAAGTGACTTAAGAACAGCTTGTCACAACCTGTGTGGCTTTATTTGGATCCGGATTCATACAAGCAGTAAAATCATAAGACAAACAGGCAAACATGAATACCAACTGCATGCATATCTGATGACATTAAGGATGACTGTTAATGTTTTTAGGTGTGACAGTGTTATCATGGTACATTTTTAAAGAGGCTTTACCTACAGAAATCCATGCTAAAATGTTTGGTGACAGAAATGATATGTCCAGGATTTGCTTCAAAATAATCAGGGGCCAACAAGTGAGGGCCAGAGGTAGTAATGGATGAATCAAGACTGGCCCTGCACTTATGGGTGTGGGGTTTGCTACACAATTTTTCTACCTCTTCCATGTTCGAAAATGTCCATAATTGGGACGTCTCAGTGGCTCAGTTGGTTAAGCGCCAACTTCGGCTCAGGTCATAATCTCACAGAGTTTGTGGGTTCGAGCCCCATGTCAGGCTCTGTGCTGACAGCTCAGAGTCTGGAGCCTGCTTCGGATTCTGTGTCTCCCTTTCTCTCTGACCCTCCCCTGCTCACACTCTGTCTCTCTCAAAAATAAACATTAAAAAAATTTTTTTTAAATGTCCATAATAATAAGCCTGAGGATTTTTCAGTACTGTGTGTGGACGAGCCAAATAAGCACTCTGCCTCCTCCAGGGCTGCGAGGAGCTGCAGCCCACTGGGTGGGAACTCGCTCACATCAGGCATCACCTCTGGCAGATTTTTACCCTACAGTTAGTTACACAGTAACATGCCTGGGTCCCGACACTACCCCGCTGGAAGGACTCTAGTGCTTAGTCTTGGCTGAAGAACACAGAGCAGCTGAAGAGCTGGGAACTGTGGTTCGAGAATAAGGCCCTCAAGCAGCACCAATGTTACCTTGCACATTATGTGGAGTTTTATGTTCCTTGCCCTTGGTTTTCCAAGTCAATGGTTAGATCATTCTCTGAGTCTTTCAGCCAGTCAAGAAGAACAATTGCTACTGTTTGCTCCCACGTGGCCCACAATCCACAGGTCCTCGGGCCAGCAGGGAAGCTCAGTCCTGCTCACCTCCCTTGTCCCTCCCAGCATAATCGGGACACAGGAAGTGCAGCTGCCACCCCACAGAGCACCTCATTCAGAGGCAAGGCACCCTTTCCATTTGCTAAGCATCCCTCCCAACCCCCTCACCCCCGGCTCCTGCAGTGGCTTGCTGCTCCTTTCCATGGAGTCTCTGCCAAGGGCCCCAGGATACCCTTGCCCTTCCTTCTGCATGTCTGCCTGACAAGTTTCTCTTATGAAACACTTTTTGCCACTGATTCCCAGAGAGATCCCAAATGATTACACTTGTTTGGAAGGAACACCCAGAGCGGCTTTCCAATTAGTCCTGTTCAGTCAAGACCAAGAATATGGAACGTCATCAAGATGCTTTGTCAGAGCAGGGGCCCTGGGGACCCAGCAGGGGAGAGCCTAAGTCTTGAGAACAGAGCAGCTGATAGAGGAAGCACTGCTTACTGAACTATCCATGCATTCATTCCGTAAACCCTAATTAAGCACCTGCTATATATCAGTCCCAGTCCTGTTGAAATGCTCAGTCAGGGGGGCGCCTGGGTGGCTCAGTCGGTTAAGCGTCCAACTTGGGCTCAGGTTATGATCTCACAGTTCCTGAGCTTGAGCCCTACATCAGGTTCTGCACAGACAGCTCAAAGCCTGCTTCAGATTCTGTGTCTCCCTCCCTCTCTCTCTGTCCCTCCCCTGCTTATGTACTTCTGCTCACTCTGTCTCAAAAGCAAATAAACATTTAAAAAAAATTTTTTTTTAAAGAAGAGAAAACAGACATTATTAGCAAGGGTCCATCTACTCAACCTTCATTCAACACTTACTGAAACTAATTACTTACTAAGTACTCCTCTGGGAGCTTGGGGCATAGTGGTTTCTGACACCGCACTCCAGGACAAAGACCACAAACAAACGAAAATACCAGCATGCACAAAAAATACCAGGGGGTGGCTAATGACATAAACAGTAATGGACAGTGAGTAACCAGAGGAGCGAGAGCCACCCATCAGAGGACTCAGGGAAGGGTGTCTGGAGAAGATGACACTGGAGCTGAGCCAGTCCCCTTTCCGTCAGCACCTGGCCACATCCCAGAAGCCAATCCAGCCTCGAAGCCTGGGCCCTCCCAGCCACTCACTTGGTAGGCCCGGATCAGGGACTGAACAGCCAGGTGGTCCTCCACCAGCTTGCTGGTCTTGGTCCGGCTCGAGACTGATGGCCTGCTCTCAGGGCACTGTGACTGAGCCGGGTCACAGGCGGCTTCCTCACTGGCTTTCCGGAAGAAGCTGTCCCAGGACTGGGGAGAGACAAGAAAACAGCCAGGTCAGGGACTGGGAGGAGTGGGGGGTGGTCCTGGTTGGGATCCCCAGTGGGCATTGGTGTTTTTTTACTACGATAGCTCTTTGGGCCTTCCTAGGACCCTGCCGAGAAAACCCTTGCAACCAGCCCAGGATCCCCACCTCAAAGCCCAGATCTCTTCAGTCCCCAGCTTGGACAGGTGTTGGGGGAAGGCTCGAACTTATGACTCAGGGGCTTCAGGTGTGAAAGGGGCTTCTACTCCTGGGGGAGACATGCCCTCACACATTGTGGGTTGGCAGGAGGGCTATTTGGCACGCAGGCCCTCTCAATATTTTCAATGAAGGTATCTTTTGAACCAGCAATTCCATTGCTAGTAGTTTATTCTGTGATGTATTTATACAGGAGTGCCTGGATGTACATACACGGATGTTCCCTACAGGACTGTTTATAAAAATGACAATGTAAAAAAAAAGTCTAGGGGCACCTGGCTGGCTCAGTCAGTGGAGCATGTGATTCTTGATTTTGGAGTTGTAAGTCTGAGCCCCACATTGGGTATAGAGATTACTTAAAAATAAAAATAAATAAAAATAAAATCTTAAAAACCAAACTAAGTGGTGACCAATAAGACCGAGGTTAAACAGATGATGGTACATTTAGATTCTGGAAGATAATGCAGTCTTAAAAAAACAAGGTGCATTTATTACTGTGGAACATGTAGAATATCACCAAGATATATAACATAAAGTGAACTAAGCAGAGGCACCTAGGTGGCTCAGTCAGTTAAGCATTCGACTCTTGATTTTGGCCCAGGTTATGATCTCATGGTGGCTCATGAGTCTGAGTCCCATCTTGGGCTCTGCGTTGACAAAGCAGAGCCTGCTTGGGACTCTCTCTCTTTCTCCCTGCCTCTGCTCCTCCTGCTAGCACTTGTACTCTCTCTAAATAAATAAACTTTAAAAAAATGTATATATTAAAAAAAAAAAAAAGTGGACCTGCTACCATCCATGTAGAAGCCAAAAGGAGATAGGCATATGCCCAAGCACCTCCATGCTCTAGAACACAAAAGTGTTTTGTTCGCACCCTCCTTCGAGAGAACAAGTGGCACGAGCCCTCTGGAAACCAATCTGGCAAGGCCCATCAGAATTATCTACACAGAAACTCTGGGACCCAACGATTCCACTTGGGGGAATTTATCCTACAGAGAGCTGCACATGTACAAGATGACAAATGTAGGAAACAATGTACGGGAGCACTGGTCACAACAGCCGGGGATGGAAATGAGCCAGACGTCTGTCAGTGGGGACAGGTGTGGCACGGCCATACGATGGAATACTACACAGCTGGGAAAAAGAACAATGAGGCTTCTGTTGCAGTGACACGGAAAATCTTGGAGATGTATGCTAAGGGAGGAAGCCTGGCGCAAAGCCACGGAGGTTACCTGTTGCTTTTGTGTGAAGCGGGAAGATCGACTTATGTTCGTAAAAAACTTACCTGAAGAAACTCTCTGAAAGGATACAGAAGAAACTAAGAAGAAACTGGGGGACAGACAGATGGGAGCTGAGCAGACAGGGGATGGATGGGGAGGAAGCCTTTTTACTGCGTAACTTCACACATTTGGTTTTTGAATCACGTGATCACTTTCCTCTGAGAATAAGAGAGCAGCCTCACTTCTCCCTTGTTGCCCTGTCATCTGATTTTTTTTTTCTTACCATCAGCAGATATTTATCTTGTCAGCTCGGTGCATATACAAACACTGAGGCCCCTAACTACATCACAAAGGGCCACCTGGAAACAGCACGGCATGACAAAGGGGGCAAGGGCAGGTCTCGGTCAGGTGTAGCTGAGCAGAACAGGCTCAGGGCCTCAGGCCAGACCACCACCCCCTGGCTGGTTCAGCAACAGGAAAGCAACACTCTCCCCACCCCTCACAAGGACAATGCTTTTATAAACCGGGACAATGGAGGCAAAGTAACCTGTCCAAGGTCAGACAGCAGGCAAGCTGCTTCTCCCCACGACCCCCTCCACAGCCCAGCCCCGCGCACTTCCCCTCTGCACAGTGGGCGGGGGTGGGGGGCAGCTGACCTTGTGAACGCTCTGGGGGTTTTCCAACCAGGCGAAGTACATCTCCTCCATGTAACTGGAGCTGCCTCCACGTTTGCTGCTTGGGAAGGGGGCCGGTGGCCCGGACGACCTGCTGCGCCGGCTGAACATCTGGACATCATGTAGGGCCAGGAGCCTCGAGGCCTGTGCCCCCAGCCGGGATGGCAGCAGCCTCAGCTGACTCATTCTGGACACAGGCAACGAGGGAGAGGTAAAAACCACAGGACCAGAACAAAGGCTCTGGCAGCCACCAGTCACTCAGCCAGCATTTTCGGTTCTACTGGGCAGGTGGCCCTGGGCTAGGCATCGATGAGACAGATAAAATGCGACAGTCTGCCAGCCATCTCGGATTCACTGACTAGTGGCAGATCCCAGCCCGATTAACTTCACCAACAGCTATTCAGCATTCTGAGCCCCAGTCTTGCTGAAGACCACCCACCCCAGCCTGCACTCCCTCTCTGCTATCCGTCTAAGCCTGATGTAGCAGTAACTATCACCCGGACCCTGCCTCAGGGAGCACTCAGCCGAGGTCCTGGAGCCCACTCAGTGGGTCACAGGGCATGTGTGGGCAGTACACCCAAGAAGGAGTGAGCCATGCAGTTGGTCTCCTTAGAACTCGAGCAGGGGAGTCTTCCAGGGGCTGGGGGTATGATGCCTGCTTAGGAAAAAGCCTGAAGAAAGGCGGGCTGACTGAGCTACACCATCTCAGGAGGCCCATGGCACTGCTGGGTCTCTGGTCACAGTGGCAAGCTCTGGGACTCCCTATCCAGGCAATACTGGAGTTGACAGGGCCCACTCAGGCCACCTCCTCCTACACAGGATTTGTAGAGTAGGACCTTTGTTCCCTTATCCCCATCTCCACCACTGTGAGCAGAGGCCCCTCTCTGCTCCAGCCTACTACTGCCTGGACACTGAACAGCTTCCCATGATTCCTCATAAACACACTTCTGCCCAGGGAATCCCAGCCTATATGTGGGGTGCAACACCAGAGCCACCCCACCAGAGGCCACACAGGCAGGAGCCTGCTTCCCCTTGCACAACTCAGTCCCAGAAAACATGCCTTCTGGAGCATAACTAGCTCCCAGATCCTATCTGGTCCTGGGTCGATGCCCCTAGACAGCACCCACCCTCACCCTCACAGGGGAATGGGATGGCTCAGGGTGGCAGTGACAAAGCCTGGCTGTGTCCAGCGTGGCCTAGTACAGGAACACTGTGTTTCACAAAACTGAATGGTCTGGAGTGGCTGCTGGACACTGCTATGGCCTTCACCTGGTAGGAGGGCAGCCAGCTGGCTACTCCTGCCTCCATCCCAGCAGGGCGTGAGGACCCAGGAGCTCTGAAGGGCTGCAGGCAGAACCAATCTCAGGATCTGGAGCCAAAGCCCCAGCCAGCCCTACCAGATCCTGTCCACACAGGCGAAGGCAGCAGCAAAGAGTCAGTCAGGCATGCTGTGAACCCTCTGCCCAGCCCAGTCCCCAGTGGACTAACAACAGGTAAGTTGTTCTGGGCAGCTCTTGGGGGGCTCCTCTCTAGAGACAAGGTCAGTACCATCCCGACCCCCACAACCATAACAGTTGCAGACATGCTGTCCAGGAAGCCTCCCACATGCAAGGCCCTGTCTGGGCTGCCCTGGTGAGGACTGCTATGCAGTATGTCCATTGTTAAGATCAGTTAACAGAGCTCCAAAGACGGGAAGGACCCTCCCCAAGACCTTGACGCCAGGCAGCAATGAAGGCAGGACCGGCAATGCTGCAGGCCTACTCTGGCCGCACATTCTAAGAACTGGGTGGGCTTTTCTCTAGTTTGCTGAACCCAAGAGAAGGCAGACTCCAGGGTAGGAAGCAGGGCAGGGAGGGGTGTGCTTATTTCACTGGCAGAGACAAAGGGCCTGAGCTAAAGCCCAGAGGTTATAAAAGTACAAAGGTAGTCAGGACCTGTTCCAGGAGGCTGTGGTATGTGTGGGGAGGAGGCGCAGGGAAGGGGATGCAGGGGCGGGCTTGGGCACATGGTGGAGGCGGGTCAGAGTGGGGTCCTTAGGGTCCAGTTTATGCCCACTGTACCCCGCTGCACCTTCCCCTCTCCCCCAATATCTCTTGGAGTACATAAGAAGCATTTCCCAGGATGGCTGAGATCTCACGCCCCTCCTGCCTCGCTCACGCTCACGGTCTCAGTTTCCTTATCCAGAGACTCTGGTTAAAGCTTTTTGTAAGGGCCCTGCCCCCACGAGCAGACTTGGAAAACTGCCTGGTGTGTCCCGCCAGGCACCAAACGCTGTAGGCAGCCCCTTCCCCAGCTCGGCAGCCCTCGGCAGCCTGGCCTGGTGACGGTGACGATGACGAGCAGCAGCTCACACCGCCTCCCTCTCCCCACCCCCCCGCAAGGCCACGAAAGGCAGCATGGACAGTACGTAGTCTTTGAGCTGAAGAAGCCACGCTGATGCCTGAAACCCCACCGTTAGCAAGTCGCTCCTCCATGCAAAACACTGCATTCACAGGGTCGAACTGGCGCGAAGGGCTGGGGGGTCCTTAGAGACGCCGCGGCCAGACAAGGGTGGAGCCAAGGTCACGCTCACTCCCTCTCCCACCTCCCCCGACGGGGCCTGGCTCGGGACCAAGGATAGCGGCGCCCCAATACAGGGGAGCAGAGGGCCCCCCTCCCAAGACGGCAGGAGAACAGGAGGCGCAGGGACCCGGAGTGGCGAGGCAGCCGCGCTCACCGGGCCGTCGAGTCCGCGCGGTAGCGCAGTCCTGGAAGCTGCAAGTCAGGGGCTGCGCGCAGGAGGTGCGCGGCGAGCACAGCCAATTACCTGGGTCACGTGACGCTGTAGCGCCTGCCGCTCGGGAGCGCGCCCCGAGACTCCGCGCGTCGTGACGTCTCTGTGTACGCCCCGCCCCTGCACCCGCTGGTGCTGTCCGCGGTGCTGACGGCCCAGGCCAGTCCAAAGCCTCCCGGGCCCAGAAAAGCGAAGATCCGGAATCCCATGGGGTCAGACGACTCCGTTGAATGAAATACCTGGTACGCTGTTGAGACCCTGAATCCCAGTGTCCTTGAACGAACACTAAAGAAAATGTACCAGAAAATCTGCAGCCATTAGTGTGCATGGGAGGATAGTTTCCCTTTTATCTCCTGTAAAGCTGCATGCAGTCAGTCGGTTAAGTGTTCGACTTTGGCTGGGGTCGTGATCTCGAAGTTCCTGAATTCCAGCCCCATGTCACGCTCTGTGCTGGCAGCTCCGAGCCTGGATCCTGCTTTGGATTCTATGCCTCCCTCTCTGCCCCTTCCAGCTCGTTCTCTCTCTCTCTCAAAAATAAACATTAAAAAAAATTTCAAGGGGCGCCTGGGTGGCTTAGTCGATTAAGCGTCTGACTTAGGCTCAGGTCATGATCTCACGGTTTGTGGGCTCAAGCCCTGCATCGGGTTCACCAGCTCAGAGCCTGGAGCCTGCTTCAGATTCTGTGTCTCCCTCTCTCTCTCTGCCCCTCTGCCGTTCACTGTCTCTCTCTCTCAAAAGTAAATAAACATTAACAAAAAATTTTTTAAAAATACCATTGTCTTGGGACACCTGGGCAGATCAGTCAGTTGAGCCTCTGACTCTTGGTTTCCAATCAGGTCATGACCTTACGGTTTGTGTGATGGAGCCCCCAGTAAGGCTCTGTGCTGACAGCTTGGAGCCTGCTTGCGATTCTCTCACCCTTGCTCTCGCTCTCTCTCTCTCTCTCTCTGCCCCTCCCCACTCGTACTTTGGCTCACAAGCGCACTGTCTGTCTCTCTCTGTCTCTGTCTTTTTCTCTGTGTCTTTCTCTAAATAAATAAATAAAACTTTTTTTAAAGGTACCACTGTCTTAAGGTTGTTTTGAAAAAACGATGAGATAATGCATATAAAGTGCTTATCACAGAACCTGATACACATTTTACCCTTCCATTGACCAAGTGATGGAGACCTAGATTGCCTTCAAGTTCCTGTTGCCAAACAATGCTGCCATGAAGATCTTCTTCCATATTCTCTTTTGAATCTGTATGAAAATTTCTCTCAGAAGTTGAACGGCTTGGTCATGGGTATGTGCAAACTTAAGAACTCATCAGCATCACATTGCTGTTCAACTCTATATTCTCATTAACAGTGCGAGGGGACTTTTAAATCCTTCTATCCCTGTCAATGTTGTTTTCATCTGCATTTCTCTGATTATCAATGATTTGCATTTCACATTGTCTGTTAGTTTTGAGGGTTATATTTATCTTGGGTTTTGTTCTTGTTTATACACAGGAGTTTGTCGTGGAGGTGGCTCAAATCACCATCAACTCTCCCAAAGATTATTGCCAAAGCCCCCTAACTGGCCTTGCTTCCACACTTGCACCCCTGAATTTCAGTCTCAGTACAGCAGAGTTTTCCTTGTAAAACACCAATTCAAATCATGTTGCCCTCTCTGCTCAAAGCCTTCAAATGCTCTCCCATTTTACTAGAAGGAAAAGTAAAAATCCTTACATTTGCTTCTAAGGCCCATTATGTCATCTCAATTATAGGCATGCTGTCATGCTTCATGAGGAAAATTGGAAAACTACAAAAATATGTGATGTAATACTTTGTGTTAATTAAAAACACATGCTCACAAAACTACACATGCTTTTCACAAGAACACATTCAAATACTAATAAATGAATATGATTGCCTGTTGTGGGATGTAGATCTGAGGTAATTAATTGATTGCCCATACCAATACTGATAAGATGCCATGAATGGAGGAATATGATTAACTCTACCCTCTAAACCTGAAATCCCCCCAAAGTTGCTTATTAGGAGATATTTTTTTATGTTTATTTATTTAATCTTTGAGAAAGATAGAGAGAGAGGGAGCCAGGAAGGGAGAATTAACAAGCAGGCTCCTTGCTCCAACTCACAAGTCATGAAATCATGACCTGAGCTGAAACCAAGAGTCAGATGTTTAACTGACCAAACTACCCAAGCACCCCTATTTGTAGATATTTTAAGGTCCATATGACCAAAGACCATACCTGTTCAATTTACTATTATATCACCAGCACTTAGCATAATGCCCAACTCATAGTATGTTTTCAGTAAATATTTGTTGGGTGAATAAATGAATGAATAAGTGGACACTTAATTTGGATCCTGAAGGATAAGTAACAGTTTGCTGCAGAAGGGCAGGGTTCATTGAAATTTCTTTGATTAAAAGCCTTAGAAAATTACTCGGCTGGCTTATGCCAAAAAGTGTTGATAAGAAGATTGTCAAGTCATAGATTCAAAGGAAAACTGAAGAATTAGTCTCAGGAAGTGGGGCTGAACCAGAAATGGGTTGTCTCATCAAGCCTCTTACAATGTTCAAAACTAAAATTCCAGGAACAGGAAAGCTAAAAGATCTGGCTTGACCTGAAGTGGAGGATGAGGCCTAGACTCACTCATCTGAAACACATGTGGGTTGAGAAGCAAAGCAGATAGTTCTTGGGATGCTGCTACACAAGAAATAGGAGTGGGTGCTAGGGAGGGGAAATCAACACACGCGCACTGATGACCTTTTACAGGAAAGTATAAAAAAGCAGAGCTGTATGAAGGGCTAGGGGAATGAGAAATGCCTACATGTATACAGGGACTGGGGGCCTAGGACAATAGGACTGGACTTTGTACACCATTTCAAGGGGTTTGGATTCTATCCTGTAGTCCATGGGACATCAGCGGCATTTTAAGCTGTGAAGGACAGGGTCAAATTTGATTTTTACAAAGCTTTCTCTGGCAAATGGAGGGAAGAGAGTGTGGTAAAAGGTGGGAGTGAAAATATATCCAGGTGAGAGGCACTGGCAGTAAAATAGAGAAAAGGATACAGATTTGAGAGACATTTAGGAATCAGTTCTGCAGGGTCTAGTGGTTAACAAAGCATGAGTGATGGGGACGATGATAACTCACATATTTCTGGCCTTAGTGAGGTAGTGGGGGGAATGGACATTCTCAGTAAACTGAGAAACACAAAGAGATACAGTCTGGGGAGAATAACAGAAAAGTTTACAAGCTGGAGCCACCAAAGAGCCATTTAAAAAAGATAGGAGTGTGACTTGGAACAACAGGCAGGAACGAAGCCCTAGCCAATCAAAGGGCTCCAGAGCCTCCCATTTGTCCACAGTGGTCTTGAGAGTTCATAAGAAAACAGAGAGCAATGGAGGGAGAGAGAACCACATTATGGAGGGAAGCTAAGTCACCAAAGGGGGTGGGCAGGGCTGCCTGAACAAAAGGCACTGGCTGTGGAATACTGCAGGGCTGCTTGGTCTTCGAGCATAATTGACATTCTGCTAATTACATTGATTAAAGCAAACATTTGGGGGTAATCAAGGCTCCCATGAGGATAGCTGCCAGTCTCAGAAGACTAGGAAGCTTTGAGGCATGGCCACATTTTAGTAAACATTTTTACAAAATTGCTTGTGTACTATGTCTACTTTAAAAATACACATTTACAAAAACATTAAATGGATCCATGAGAATATAGTTCTGCAATTTACTTCTTTTTTTCCCTTGAGGATGTGCACGACCATCTCATTCACTTCAATGGGTATGTTGTATTCACTGAAGGGGATGTAAATGATTCTATTTATTTTTTTTAAATATTTTTATTTATTTCTAGGAGAGAGAAAGAGAGACAGCTTGAGCAGTGGAAGGTCAGAGAGAGGGAGTCACAGACTGAAACAGGCTCCAGGCTCTGAGCTGGCAGTCAGCACAGAGCCCGACGCGGGGCTCGAACCCACGAACCGTGAGATCATGACCTAAGCGAAAGTCGGACGCTTAACCGACTAAGCCACCCAGGCGCCCCTAAATGATTCCATTTAACTTCTCTCCCATTGAATGGACATTTACATTGTTTTTAACATTTACATAAATAAAAGCCCTCTTACATATATTCTTTAGCATATGTGCATCTTTTTTGGTAACATTGATTCCTAGAAGTTTAACACTAACGCTGGGCTAAAACATATGCATGTTTTACATTTTAATAGGTACTGCCTTCTGTAACCCATGCCTATTTATGTTTCCCATTAGCATTTGAGAGTTCCTACTTCCTTACATGTTGCCAAAACTTATTATCAGTGTTTTTTATTTAATTTGTGCCAATCTGATAGATGAAAAAAACTTCACTTTGTTTTAGTTTGCATAAAACTGGTAAGTGAAGTTGAAAATCTTCCTATATGTTCATGATTTTGTATTCCTTTCCTGTGAATTTCCTATTCATGTTCTTGGTCCATTTTTCCATTGGATTGCTTACATATTTTAATTGATTCACATAAACTCTGTATGTATATTCTGAATAAGAATTCTTTGTGTGTTGTAAATATTACAATTATTTCTTTCTCTTTCTTTGTCACTTGTC